GCAGCTTGTGGTTTGTCCAATAGCCTGGTGATTTATTGCAGGGGCTCCTGCTGATGTTGGCAATAGAGATAAATGCAGTCTGGATGTGGATGTGGGTGCTGGTATTAGCCTTCATTGCAGCTAGGATGACTAGGCCTTGTTTTGGAGACTATCTTTGAATGAAATGCTTAGCTTCAGCAGAAGCAGCTAAAAGGGAAGCATCCAGTGAATTCCTACAGCCCTCTACTGGCTCTTGTTGTATTGAAGGTGTGAACAGTAACGTTTAAGTGGTTCCTTCCAGAGTTTTAACATGATGCCTACTAGGATAATTATGCCAATGGCCCACTGTTCTTTCAGGGCATGTTCCATTGTAACTTTCAGCTGTAACCCACAGTAGCTTTGAGACAAACACAACAGTTTTGCCTGTTGTGGTTTTTCCCCCTCCCTAAAAGAAGAGAGGACTGGAAGTTCTCTAAGTTACTTGTAGCATGTGTTAAAAGTTTTGCTTAACTGATTAATGAGAGAACTGACAGGGAAGACATAAAGATCAGTTTTCCCAAGTTCTAGTGGTGAGTTTGTGTGTGTGTGTGTGTGTGTCTGCATGACTTGCAAAAGAAAAAATATTAGGCTAGTCACAAATCAGATTAACCTTCTACAAAGCAATAAAGCTGTAACTCCTTTGTACATTTGGAAAATTTCTCTATCAGGCTACAGAATATAATACAAATCATAGAGCCCTTTGCGTGTCTGCAAATTAACCTTAACTTTACAGAACTGCACATGATTGCATTTTATCAGTTCTGGATTGTTGCTCAAACAGCCTGTGACAGCACAGTCCAATTCCCCAAGTAGTGAGATGCAGGTGGGGCAGGTTGACTAGAAACTTGCTCTGCTTCCTGGCTGCTCAGAGAATGCTATTTACGCTAGTAGCACTAGTGTCAGTGGGAAGCTAGAAAGAAGTGCAGGATCTCTGGCCCCACCCTAGATCTTTAAAATCAGAATCTGTGCCATAGATTGAATATTTGTGTCTCCCACTGCCTCCAATTCATATATTGAAAACCTAATGCCTCATGTGATGGTATTAAGAGGTGGACCTCTAGGAGGTGAATCGGTCATGAGGATGAAGTACTCCTGAATGGGATTAGTGTCCATTATAAAAGAGACCCCAGGGGGCTTCATCACCCCTACCCCTTTTACTGTGTGAGGACACAGCATGAAGACAGTCCTTTGTGAGCCAGAAAGGAGGCTCTCACCAGACCTGAATCTTCCAGTGCTAACATCTTGGGCTTCCCAGCCTCCAAAACTATGAGAAATAAATGCTTATTGTTTACAAGATTTTTATTTAAAATTTTTTATTAAAAAATTATGGTATTTTGTTACAGTTGCCTGAACAGACCAAGATCATCTGCATTTTAATAAGACATCTATATGATTTGTGTTCACATTAAAGTTTAAGAACTTTGCTCTAGACTGATATTTTAAAAATCAGGAACTTATTTTTAATCTTTCCAGGTTTGACATACACTTTCATTCCACAGCTCTCACCACATGCCATACTAGGTCAGTTGTTAGTCGAGGTCTAGGCAGATTGTCACCCTCAGTACAGTGGTTGTCTCCTCCTGCTTCTGAGTGAGGCTTTGGAATTAGGGTTTCTGTAGGAAGCCAGCGGGCACCCAGGTTTGGCCCTGGTTCTGCCACTATATGTGTAAGTGCTTTGCATGTACTATCATATCAACCCTCAAAACTCATCTGAGGAAGCATCACCACCATCATTTCTCAGAGAAGTGCCCAGGGTCATGTTACTGGCTGAGATGCTGTTTTTCCCAGGACCATGTCTTTGAGGTGACAAAGAATGAAGCCTGCAGACAAGAGTACAGAGCAACCAGCAACATTTCTAATGAGGAGTGAAAAGGAAAAAGAAAGACTTCCTCTAACTGGGAGGTGCTCCAAGATAGAATGCTGTCAGAGCTGCAGTGCCTAGGGTTTATAAGCACCAAAACAGAGTAAATCACACAGGTGGCTGGGAGTTGTTGCTAGGGCCTGTTGCTATGGCTGAGGTAGGATCAAAGGAAAAGAAAAACTCCCTTTTTTCCTCAGGTTGATTTTCCCAGATGTCCAGGACGAGGCTTCTTGTTTACTGCAAAGCCTTGACTGTTATGTTACCTTACCAAGGCCCCAAGCTCTATCTTCCTGTGTCTCACTAATGCTTGCCTCAGTCACATGACTAGAAAGCACACAGATAAGAATGAAATGAGGGATAATTCCAAACCCCTTCGTTCCATACTGTCTCCTATCCCTTAAGCACTATCGTTCATGGCTTTCTGACTTAGTTCAACTGGACAAGTTTCAAACATCCTTCTACCTCTAAAATCTTTGGATTTATTGATATAGCAACATCTTTTGGACTTAATTGCTAATTAAGGGGAACCTATAATAATTATTAATAACATCATTGATATTGATACCATTAACTGGTATCACCAATCATAAATAAATAAATACATTTATTTCTTCAGAACTCCTCTATACTCTTTGAGTATCCAGACTACATTTCAAACTTACCATTTATTACAGTTTTTTTACTTATCTATTTCTTCCACTTGGAACTGCCTCCTGGGGAAGGAAGGGATGGGTACTTTGTCTTATTTATGTTTATATCCCCACAAGTTAGTATATATAGTACTCAATAAATGTTTATTCAAATACACTAACCAATGGACATAAAATTGAAGGGGAAACCCTTCAATTATAGGATTCAATGGATCTAATATAAATCCATCATTATATTTGTATCCATATATTTATAGTAATAAAATAAAAGTGGAGGATTTATTTCACATATCAGTTCTTTCAAATGGGCAGGAGTCTTCTGTTCTATATTTTTGCAGCCCAGAGGAACTATATCTTTGAAGTAAAGAGGAATAAATGGTAGGAAAATAAAATGGCAATATGACAACCGTTAATCTGGTTACAAAGGAAAAGTAATTACAAAAAAGGAATTTGTGAGTTTTCCAAAGGGTTAATTCAGGCCAACAGTTCTCAACCTGCAGCCATTTGGCCCCATGGGGGACATTAGTCAATATCTGGTGACATTTTTGGTCTTCAGAACTGCTGGGGAGATTTTTCCTGTGCACCTAATGGGGAGAGGCTAAGCAACCTACAAGGCACAGAACAGCCCTCCACGAGAAACGATTATCCAGCCCCAAATGTCAGCAGTATAGGACTGAGAAACCTTGATTCAGATAGACCCTTGAATAGTGCTGGGAATTTAGTACATTCTAATTAGCTGATTGCTTGACTCAGCACATAACCTCTGACACCCTCAGCATCTCCATGACTGCACAATTATCTAATGGTGACCCAGAGGCACCACTCATCCCAGAGCTCCCTCTGCTTCAGCAACAGAGTGTGGCTGCCTCAACGGCTTCACCTTGCTCTCAGGGCCTGGGACCTACCCTGAAGGAGAGGTCACTATATGTGTCATTTACCTGTTTATGTTTCTGCCCATCACCCATAACTAGACAGTACATTCCTGTTGTCAGAGAACATATGTTTTACTTCATTGCATCCCCATGGCCACAATTTCTCACTTCCACCTTATAATGCTTTGGCACTCCGGGCATGAAAGTGATGCTTTATTTTTGGAATTCAATGGTTAAATAGTTGGTCATCTGTAAATATCCTCTGTGGTGAATTGCAACTAACCAGAATGTAAAGTGACCAGAATCATCCTTTCTGCCACCATTCTAGATAAGCTGGGATTTATGCTATGTAGCATTCAGATTTGTGTTCCGGGGTCAGGGTTTATGTAAGTTTAGGTGTTTAGGGTTAGACATAGAGAATTCCTTACGTTTTGTTTCCTTCTTCAATTCCCTAGTTTGTGAAGATGTTGTCTTTTTCTGGGAAATAAAAGGGGGATTTCATTTATACAGGAAGAACAAAAACAATAACAAGCTGTTCTGTCCAGGCAGATACTGTGTTTGTTAAGGCATGATGGGGGGTTAGCACTTAAGGGATCTGGCAGGAAGGTCAGCCCTGTGTAAGCCTGTGACACAGGTGGGAGGTGTGTGTGGCACCTCTCACCTTACTTCCCCAGACATCCTCCCACCCCTGCTTATGCCCCCTCCAGCCCAGCGTTCTCAGAGTCACTGATGTCTGTTCCTAAGGGGACATCGGAGGAGCACGTACTCCTGCGGTGTGGAGTACTGTAATGTCTTGCCCGTACCAGGAACACTTGCATTTTAAAACATGAATCCAAAAGAATGAATCATTACTAACAGGATTTCCAATATTAGACCACTAGGGTGCGATCGATTTTGAGGAGTCCTTCGTCAGGTTGTCTTTCATTAGCAAATAAAACAAGCAACAGAAATACTTCAGGCCAGGGCTCTGTGAGACAATAAGCAGATTTTTTAAAATTCATATTTAAACTTTTGTTCTTGTTTGTTCTGTGGCTATCAACTGAGAACAAGTACGTGTAGCTTCTAATAGAGGAAAGAAGACAGAGAGTCCAAAGCTGTTAGATCTTTGCAAACTTTGTCACCCTAGGAAGCTTACTAATAGATCAATAACAATACAAATAATTACATATTTTTGTCATCAGAAGTTGGTTTTCTTTGGGGCTTCTTAAGATCAGGAATTTTAGTTGTAAAGCAGTATAGTATGTGCAGTTTGGAAAGGCAAACAATTCTGATGGTGGCAATATTTATAAAGCACTTACTATGTGTCTGGCACTATTCCATTTACTCATCATGACCCTACTAGTGGGTTACTATTTTATTATTACCCCTATATTATGAGTGAAGAAATCCAAAATCACAGTAAGTACATGTTAGAGCCAGGCCTTGAACCCATACTTCCTGGCTACAGGTCTTATCCTCTCACTGTATTACCTCCCGAGTCATAACCAGGCACCTCTGCTGTCCTCAGGGAATGTTTTCACTGAAGGGCAGGGCCTGGACACAATGCAAAGGGAAAGTGGTTTGTTAAATATGCTAACCTAGCTCTTTCTTGCTTTCCAGGCTTTGGAGGTACCCTGGGCTACATTTTAGGTGCCATCGACTGGGCCCATCTGAAACTGGGAAGAGTGCTGGGCACAGAATTCCAGGTCATGTTCTTCTTTTCCGCCTTGGTGCTCACTTTATGTTTTATGATTCACCTGTGCAGTATCCCTGAAGCCCCACTTAGAGATGTTGCTAAGGACGTTCCCCCACAGCAAGCCCTCCAGGACGCTCTATTGTCACCAGACAGAATGTATGAGTATGGATCTATCAGAAAAGTTAAAAATGGCTATGTAAACCCAGAGCTGGAGCTGCAGGGAGAAAAAATAAAAAGCGAACAGGTAAAGTTGAAATTCATTTTTCTTTAGATGGGAAAAATATTCTTGTTCTTGTCTTTTCTTCTGTTTTAAATTGTTCTTTGTCTTTGTTCTCTTATCTGATGTGAAGAGTTTTGTGAAGTCTAACTGAATTCTCAAATCTACAGTAGCTACCATCACTTGGAATCAAAACACTGCATTTCAAAGAAAAACGTATGCATCTTTCTCTGGCCCTCCTGTCTCTTACTCTATTCAGAGCATCAAACCAGTGAGGATGAAGCCAGATACAAAGCAGTAAACCATAGGAGAGGGCTGGGACCATCCTCGGGCCATAAGAAATATCCTTCGCTCGTAGATTAGGATTATAAATTTGTTCCTCCAAGTGACAGCATCCCTGGGTTGGTAACTGGGTTGTCTTGTTGAATTTGTATTTCATGAGTTGATTAGATATTTCCAGTACACTGCTCCATGAATTAATCAGCTTAAAAATTTAAAGAAAACTCTACTAAATGCCAGAAAAATGGAACTAGGTGAAGAGGAAATGGTCAAATAGAAGAGGGTAGAACTATGCTGACCAATACAGTAGCTACTAGCCCATGAGGCTATTTACATTTAAACTAATTAAAATGAAATACAATTAAAATGTCACTTCCTGAGTTGCATTAGCCACACTTCAAATGCTCAATAACTCCGTGGAGCTAGTAGCTATAGTACAGGAGAGTGCAGATACAGAACATCTCTATTGCTGCAGAAAGTTCTGCCAGACAATGGGGATGCACAGCTCCATTTTCCTTTGGGGTGACTTTGAAAAATAAAACCTCAGAGATAGAGTACAAAGGGTCCTCTCACTGGCAAAGAGGTTGTGAAAAGCCTGGGTTCAAATTTTAGCTCCTTGAGCTGACTAGCCTGTGTTACTCATTCAGCAAATATCAATCAGGCCCTTGCTGTAGGTAAGCTAAAGAATAAGAGCATAGGTGTTCAAATCCTACTTCTATCATCTCTGGAATATATGACTTTGGGTATTTACATTTTTCTAAAAGGAGAATGTAATTCCATCTGTCTAAAAGGGTTTTGTGCAGGTTACATGAGATAGTCCATACAAAGTTGCTCAGAGTGGTTTCTACCACATAATAACATGTTAGTGTAGGTGCTTATTATGGGCCTGCCAGAATGCTGAATGCTCCAAGCACAAACAGGAACAGACTTAATCTGTGCTCTAACAGCTTTCACACAAGCTAGGTTCAATCTTATCTCCTCCATGAGCTTGGCTTCTCTTGTAGATGCTTTATTTTTGGAATTCAATGGTTAAATAGTTGGTCATCTGTAAATATCCTCTGTGGTGAATTGCAACTAACCAGAATGTAAAGTGACCAGAATCATCCTTTCTGCCACCATTCTAGATAAGCTGGGATTTATGCTATGTAGCATTCAGATTTGTGTTCCGGAGTCAGGGTTTATGTAAGTTTAGGTGTTTAGGGTTAGACATAGAGAATTCCTTACGTTTTGTTTCCTTCTTCAATTCCCTAGTTTGTGAAGATGTTGTCTTTTTCTGGGAAATAAAAGGGGGATTTCATTTATACAGGAAGAACAAAAACAATAACAAGCTGTTCTGTCCAGGCAGATACTGTGTTTGTTAAGGCATGATGGGGGGTTAGCACTTAAGGGATCTGGCAGGAAGGTCAGCCCTGTGTAAGCCTGTGACACAGGTGGGAGGTGTGTGTGGCACCTCTCACCTTACTTCCCCAGACATCCTCCCACCCCTGCTTATGCCCCCTCCAGCCCAGCGTTCTCAGAGTCACTGATGTCTGTTCCTAAGGGGACATCGGAGGAGCACGTACTCCTGCGGTGTGGAGTACTGTAATGTCTTGCCCGTACCAGGAACACTTGCATTTTAAAACATGAATCCAAAAGAATGAATCATTACTAACAGGATTTCCAATATTAGACCACTAGGGTGCGATCGATTTTGAGGAGTCCTTCGTCAGGTTGTCTTTCATTAGCAAATAAAACAAGCAACAGAAATACTTCAGGCCAGGGCTCTGTGAGACAATAAGCAGATTTTTTAAAATTCATATTTAAACTTTTGTTCTTGTTTGTTCTGTGGCTATCAACTGAGAACAAGTACGTGTAGCTTCTAATAGAGGAAAGAAGACAGAGAGTCCAAAGCTGTTAGATCTTTGCAAACTTTGTCACCCTAGGAAGCTTACTAATAGATCAATAACAATACAAATAATTACATATTTTTGTCATCAGAAGTTGGTTTTCTTTGGGGCTTCTTAAGATCAGGAATTTTAGTTGTAAAGCAGTATAGTATGTGCAGTTTGGAAAGGCAAACAATTCTGATGGTGGCAATATTTATAAAGCACTTACTATGTGTCTGGCACTATTCCATTTACTCATCATGACCCTACTAGTGGGTTACTATTTTATTATCACCCCTATATTATGAGTGAAGAAATCCAAAATCACAGTAAGTACATGTTAGAGCCAGGCCTTGAACCCATACTTCCTGGCTACAGGTCTTATCCTCTCACTGTATTACCTCCCGAGTCATAACCAGGCACCTCTGCTGTCCTCAGGGAATGTTTTCACTGAAGGGCAGGGCCTGGACACAATGCAAAGGGAAAGTGATTTGTTAAATATGCTAACCTAGCTCTTTCTTGCTTTCCAGGCTTTGGAGGTACCCTGGGCTACATTTTAGGTGCCATCGACTGGGCCCATCTGAAACTGGGAAGAGTGCTGGGCACAGAATTCCAGGTCATGTTCTTCTTTTCCGCCTTGGTGCTCACTTTATGTTTTATGATTCACCTGTGCAGTATCCCTGAAGCCCCACTTAGAGATGTTGCTAAGGACGTTCCCCCACAGCAAGCCCTCCAGGACGCTCTATTGTCACCAGACAGAATGTATGAGTATGGATCTATCAGAAAAGTTAAAAATGGCTATGTAAACCCAGAGCTGGAGCTGCAGGGAGAAAAAATAAAAAGCGAACAGGTAAAGTTGAAATTCATTTTTCTTTAGATGGGAAAAATATTCTTGTTCTTGTCTTTTCTTCTTCTGTTTTAAATTGTTCTTTGTCTTTGTTCTCTTATCTGATGTGAAGAGTTTTGTGAAGTCTAACTGAATTCTCAAATCTACAGTAGCTACCATCACCTGGAATCAAAACACTGCATTTCAAAGAAAAACGTATGCATCTTTCTCTGGCCCTCCTGTCTCTTACTCTATTCAGAGCATCAAACCAGTGAGGATGAAGCCAGATACAAAGCAGTAAACCATAGGAGAGGGCTGGGACCATCCTCGGGCCATAAGAAATATCCTTCGCTCGTAGATTAGGATTATAAATTTGTTCCTCCAAGTGACAGCATCCCTGGGTTGGTAACTGGGTTGTCTTGTTGAATTTGTATTTCATGAGTTGATTAGATATTTCCAGTACACTGCTCCATGAATTAATCAGCTTAAAAATTTAAAGAAAACTCTACTAAATGCCAGAAAAATGGAACTAGGTGAAGAGGAAATGGTCAAATAGAAGAGGGTAGAACTATGCTGACCAATACAGTAGCTACTAGCCCATGAGGCTATTTACATTTAAACTAATTAAAATGAAATACAATTAAAATGTCACTTCCTGAGTTGCATTAGCCACACTTCAAATGCTCAATAACTCCGTGGAGCTAGTAGCTATAGTACAGGAGAGTGCAGATACAGAACATCTCTATTGCTGCAGAAAGTTCTGCCAGACAATGGGGATGCACAGCTCCATTTTCCTTTGGGGTGACTTTGAAAAATAAAACCTCAGAGATAGAGTACAAAGGGTCCTCTCACTGGCAAAGAGGTTGTGAAAAGCCTGGGTTCAAATTTTAGCTCCTCGAGCTGACTAGCCTGTGTTACTCATTCAGCAAATATC